ACATGGCACCACAAACATGGTTGCATACCCAGAGATAGTCAAAGTCAGACTGTAAAGACTTTAGCATGTAAATTCCTTTGCCTGCCTAGATGGATCTGTCAGGTTCAGGTTCAATTTAAAGGTACTGTATATTTCTGTCTTTACACATAAAATAGTAACATTATATACAGATTGAGAACTTGCTTGAAATCCTTATGTTTCTGGTGTTTTCCATAAGAAAGTGCATTAATAATAAAATGGTTGCCCGAGATATTTCAGTGACGATGATTCACGGAATAAAACACCTGAAGGAAAAAAGTGCTATTTACCTTTGCCTCCTGCTTCAGTTCTTTCCAGTAACTGATACTCATAAAAAGCTTACCTGCTCTCAGTTGGACAAAGTGATCTACTAGACTGAATCATGCTTCGGTCTCACTCCCTCACTGAATCGAAGCTGGAGAATCAAGATGGCTAGAGTACTTGCACCACACAGAGAAAGATAACACTCTGTATGTGACATGGCATGACTCCCATGCATTGGAAAAGACTGAAAATGTATCCCTTAAAATGGGGAATATGACTAATCAGGCCATTTTCATAGCAGAAGAAAACGTATGTGACATGTAATCAGGCCATTTTCATAGCAGAAGAAAACCTGAATTCTGCTGCACTCACAATACAAGCCACGTTATTTGCCAGAACAGAGGAAGCTGCATTATACTAAGAACAGATCACTGACCCATTGGGTCTTGTTCTCTCATCAACAGTATCCCTTCACTATTTCAGACAGGAATTATTTCTAGCCCTAGTTGGACCTACCGGCGTATACATACCCACAGATCTTCCTCTCTCAGCCACTGGTACCAATCACAGCTCCCCTCTCTTTTTATAGCTTCCAGACTCTCCTTCCCACTTCTAGAGCCTTCGCCCTGAACCTCACTTTCTGGACTCTTTCCATTTTGGGCAGGTTCTTCACCCTCCAGAACCTCTTGATGAGTTCCTGCAATTGTTGTCCCCTTCTTCCACCTCCATAAGAGACACTGGCAACAGGGGCATTCTAGCTAATGGCAGCATCCCTACCCTCAACAGGTATGGCAGGCCTGGGGAGGCACTTTGGGAAGTTGAAAATATGGTAGATATAGAGGATGGAGTCACACCCTTCAGGGTCAATTTGACACAGGGAGATATCGCTTCTTCTCAAACAGTGATGAGTTGGGTCGAGTCCTTGTATTTAGAGGAGCCACATTGAAATCTGTGAAATAAGGAGGTGCTGGCTTACTAGTTTCCTTGTCCTTGTGAAAAATCGAACCATTATAATGCTATTTCCTCCAAACCATGTCAAGTCAGCCATGGGACCACAGGCCAAGCTGAGAAAGTTTGGTTTTTTCCCTTTATGTTTCTCAATCAGCCTCCCCATATTTAGGGAGAAGGAAATTGCCTGGCTCTCTGAAAATGATACAACAGCATGGAATTCCCCCTTCTCAAACTTCAAAAATTCCCAGCTAAGGGGAATTGCTTCTTGCAGAGGCCAGGATGGTGAATCTAAAAAAGGAATGGATTTTCTTACGTTTCAAGCATGCTTGGATTGGAGTTTTCTGGGTAGGCATAGGAGGTTAATAATGCTCCCATAATACAAAATTGATTTATAGTACACCGTGAAGATTGTGGTTATGCCATCACAGGTCAGGTTTTGAAGCTCAGTTCTTAGCCACCACTGCCGAACAGGTGAGGGAGCAACGACTCTACGACCTTCCATCTACAATCACTGAGCCTTAAGTAGCAGGCATGATCTGTTTCAGAGAAGGTTGGCATCTTGGCACTAACCCTGAGAGCATGCACAATTTTGTTTACTTATTCATTATCATTTTGAGTCTAGGTATGGACTAAAGACATCAAAGATTTATTCAACACAGCCTAAAGCATGTAAGAAAGCCAGGAGGACCACTGAAAGATACTTTGCCATCTAAGGCAATGACAAGGTGATGATGTATTCGTGAAGGCTTTCACAGCCGGGATCTAATGGTTGTTGTGGGTTTTTCGGGCTCTTTGGCTGTGTTCTGAAGGTTGTTCTTCCTAATGTTTCACCAGTCTCTATGGCCGGCATCTTCAGAGGTGCATCTTCAGAGTGCTGTCCTCTGAAGATGCTGGCCACAGAGAGTGGCCAAACGTTAGGAAGAACAACCTTCAGAACACGGCCAAAGAGCTCAAAAAACCCTCAACAACCACAAGGTGATGAGTCCCCACTTTGGTGCCACTTCCTCAGAAAATGGCAACAGGGCCTCATCCTCCCACTACACTTGCAGACAGCTGAATGGATGCTGGAGAAGCCCCATGGCACACATCGATCTGCCCGGGAGCACTTCGCCACTGCTCCAGCATCTGTTGCCTTAGGCGGCGGCCTTGTTGCCTGAGTTGAGAGCTGGCTCTGATGACCACAGAAGCAGTTATTGGTGATAGAAGGCAAATGTAGCCAAGGCTACATCAGTCCAGGGGACATGTTTCTCTGAATAGTACAGCTCCTGACTGAAGGACCGGTTAAAGGCGAGGAAGAAAGGAGACAGCCAACACAGCCAGCATCACCGTGCATGCACAACATGGATACAACAGCCTTTAGCACCACTCCTTGGGGAAAGCTTGCAGGACATGAAGGATCCATTTCTCTGTGCACCATAACAACATGAATGTTCATATTGTGGTTTGAAAATTTAAAGAAACACCTGATAATAATGATACATAAAGCCTGTGATCCAGTTAGAAATACAGGGCAAGTAGTAAAAGTATGCCCCTTCTTCCAATCCTTGTGACTTCTTTCTTAGCATAGAGTTAAAATCTCCTCACTGGCATTGCTTCAGGCATTCAACTGAATGTACACGTATATGTATTTATTTATTTATTTGGTACCCAGAGATTATTCTGACACTAAGGGGCACTGTATTTATATATTTATTTATCTATTTGGAACCCAGAGATTATTCTGACACTAAGGGGCAGTATATAAATCAAAACAATTACATCAGTGTGTTTCCTTTCACTGTTTTTAAGGATGTTAAATAAAGGATACACTTTGGTTAATGATTTTGTACATCAAATAGTCTGAGTTTGAGAGATGAATTGTTCAAAGCATTAGTTCCACCTCAAAGAAATACCCCCCCAAAATTGCAACTGCATCACAATTCACCACCTTAAGCACCTTCAGACTGAATACTGAATAATTCTAGGCACCCCTCTTCTTTGTTCACAGAAGAAATTAAGATGGGAGTATTTGCAGCCACTGCTGTTCTTGTGGATATATGGATCAACTATATCAGGGCTACTCACTCCAAATAAACAAATAAACACCCTGTTCTCTTCAACAGCAATCTGCCTGTTTCTCCTCAACCTCCATACCACTGACATCACAAACAGCACGAGCAGCTTGGGCATGGATAAGTAAACTGAATTGGGAATATTTTTCTTGTCTCTGAAAAGAACTGGATGTGGTCAGGTAGTTGTAGTTTCTCACTTGAGAGAAAAATCTGCATGTTCAGAAACACAATGTATTATTACTCCTAGCCTACAAGGATGATGAACCCATCCAGTTAAAGTAGGTGCTGCTTCTGTACTCTGAGTGAATTCAGGACTTGGAAGGCCTATAAAGTGCATGACATACAGATCAAGAAGAACAAATAATGGACTAGTTTATTTAGCTCTCTCCATGGGGCTTAGCTAAAATGGAGATTAAACTAACTCCGACCGATTCACACATTTGTCCAGTTCATCTATAAAGGTGCAATTAAGACTTTTCTTTGTATAAAATGGAGCCCATGACAATTGTGTGGGTGAAGTTCTTCCCTTCCTCCTCCAGCTTATCTCACAACCACCTTTTCCCTCAGGCAGTTGACTCTGCAGCTGCCTGGCTCACTTCCTGTTTTGTGAGAGAAAAGGGCTTTGAGCAACTGAATTGTGTGGGGTGCTGTGGCACAGAGAAATGTTTTACTGTACCAGGGCTGTCCCCAAGGGTTTTGCTATGTGTGAGGTAAAGCACAAGATGGTGTTCCACCCTCAGTTTCACATACCAAAACAAACTGGATTGGCAATGTGTTATACTTCAAGACTGGTGAAGACGGATGGAGTAGCACCATCCAAAGCATCTGAAGGTTAGTTGGGGGGGTCCAAGATGGGTCATGTGATGCACACAGCTCTGTCCTGTGTGCATCACATGACAGAGCTGTGTGCATCGCAGGGCATTAGATGTTAGGAAGAATGGCTGGGGAGATGCCACAGAGGCTCTTTGGGGTCTGCCAAATTTGATGGTTGCCTCTCTTTGCCAAATGGCACTTCACTCATCCTTGTGCTCCTTTTCATGGAAAAACAGACCATTCCTCTGCCGCCACACCCCCCACTACAGAAAATGTTTAGGTTTCTATAAGAAAGGACCAAAATGTGGGCCTACGTATAAGCACCGAAATACTCACCCTTTCTAGTCACATCTAAACAATCCTATAGTGACCCACAACATTATTAAAATTGACTCAGTTAATCCATTTTTCTCTCATCAGCGATGCTGGGATTACTGATCTATCTGACAGATCTGTTGAACAACTGGCAGATGATTTTGGACATGTAGAAATGCACTCTGTGGGTGCTCATTTTATTACTAGAGGGGCTTTGGACACTAGATTTTGCAGTCCACAATGTGGAATACATTTATGAAGTTAGGTAACTAAATCATTATTATGGCCGGGTAGACAGTCACACACTCTGTTCAGTGCAGATTTTAATCTAAAACCTCATCAGCATAAAACTATATCAGGCTGTCCCTTGCGTTTTTTTCCTACTATTCTTCCTGATGCCCAGATAGGAATCTAGAAGTTTGGGAAGCAGGAATCAAATGCTGAGACACACTCGAAAAAAATGAAAACGCTGACAACAAAAAAGAATACAACAAGTAGTTTGGACAAGTCTCTAACCGGTTGAAATAAGGGAGTGC